CGAGGAATTAATACCATCTGAATTCTCAAAAGCGCAAAAGATTTGCTTGAATTTCGGCATTCTCAGAGACGAACCAAGTTCAATTATGTCGCAACAATTGATTTCCTACAGATACAGTTACGTATCTATATTCAGAGGCTCAGGACAATTAGTCAAAAACTGAAAGCAAATGCCATCTGAAGTTTCCTGAGAAAACATGTGAAATGTTGGACTTCCTAATTGATAACATCTACGTAAAATTTGGGGGTAAGACATTTAGGCAAGAAGCAGGCATCCCCATGGGCACAAATTGTGCTCCTTCTTGCGGATCTGTTTCTTTATGCATATGAATCGGAATTTCTGTTCGGATTGGCAAAGTCAAAACAAGGCATTTTGGCCAAGAACTTCAGGTATATCGAGGATCTGATATCAATCAAATAGCAAATTCCCTTCCACTGATTTCTCCACCTGTACTTGAAATAAAGGAGACCAATGAGGCCGCCTCATCTGTTTCATAGAAAGAACTCTGCATAAAAATTCAGGGTGACAAAACACTCTTTCCTAAAGTCAACTTTCCCTTCATGTCGATCAACATTCCTGCCTTTGGTGTTTACATATCACAACTTTTGAGATACAACTGAGCATGCTCTTTCTACCAAGATTTCAAAGAGCGTCATACGATCCGCGACTCTTGCTCAGAAGTTGTATGATCAAGGTTACAACATTCAAGGCCTCAGTAAAGCTTTCAAAACGTTTTATGGTAGACATGTGGAGGACTCTTTCAAATTTACGTATCAGTGACAAAAATGATGCCGATGCAATGCCTTATTTTGACTTGTACCATGTGTTCCCGTGCTTTTTCAGGTGAACAATTGACTTGACTTTTCGCGAACACCTGGTATCATTACTATTTGATAGTGATTCATTAACACATGCTCATTATATTGTCGGAAACGTACAATCAACTCTGATTTATGCAGAGATTTCTATTGGGTATGGAAAGGGTTTATCGGTTTATTTACATGTACACCACTATACCACATAGGGCATTTGTCTTTCTCCTCTTTTAACCTTCGTAGCAGTTCAAAAGTGGACGATCACGATGATTATTATGACAATAATAACAGCGACAAAACCCTTTTCAAGTTCAAAAGCAGAGTCGTCTTATGGAATAAGAATAAGAATATAGAGTTTCAGCTGTTTTATAGCTAATAATGCTGTAACACTGCTGGCCACAGATTGACCATGAGCTTTAGGTGTTATATGGCTAATACTGCTGTAACACTGCTGACCACAGATTGACCATGAGCTTCAGCTGTTATATGGCTAATACTGATATAACACTGCTGCCCACAGATGGATCGTGAGCTTTAGCTGTTATATGGCTAATACTGCTGTAACACTGTTGGCCACAGATTGACCATAAGCTTTAGGTGTTATATGGCTAATACTGCTGTAACACTGCTGACCACAGACTGATCATGAGCTTTAGCTGTTATATATGGCAAATACTGCTGCAACACTGCTGACCACAGATTGACCATGAGTTTCAGCTGTTATATGGCTTATACTGCTGTAACACTGCTGCCCATAGATGGATCATGAGCTTTAGCTGTTATATAGCTAATACTGCTGTAACACTGTTGGCCACAGATTGATCATGAGTATCAGCTGTTGTATGGCTTATACTGCTGTAACACTGCTGCCCATAGATGGATCACGAGCTTTAGCTGTTATAAGGCTAATATTGCTGTAACAATGTTGGCCATAGATTGATCATGAGCTTTAGCTGTTATATGGCTAATACTGCTGTAACACTGCTGACCAAAGATTGACCATGATCTTTAGGTGTTATATGGCTAATACTGCTGTACCACTGCTAACCACAGATTGATCATGAGCTTTAGCTGTTATATGGCAAATACTGCTGCAACACTGCTGACCACAGATTGACCATGATCTTTAGCTGTTATATGGCTAATACTGCTGTAACACTGCTGACAACAGATTGACCATGATCTTTACCTGTTATATGGCTAATACTGCCGTAACACTGCTCCCCACAAATTGATCATGAGCTTTAGCTGTAATATAGCTAATACTGCTGTAACACTGCTGACCACAGATTGACCATGAGTTTCAGCTGTTATATGGCTTATACTGCTGTAACACTGCTGCCCATAGATGGATCATGAGCTTTAGCTGTTATATGGCTAATTCTGCTGTAACACAGCTGGCCACAGATTGATCATGAGCTTTAGCTGTTATATTGCTAATACAGCTGTAACACTGCTAACCACAGATTTGATCATGAGCTTTAGCTGTTATAAGGCTAATACTGCTGTAACACTGCTAACCACAGATTGATCATGAACTTTAGCTGTTATATGGCTAATACTGCTGTAACACTGCTGACCACAGATTGATCATGAGCTTTAGGTGTTATATGGCTAATACTGCTGTAACACTGCTGGCCACAGATTGATCATGAGCTTTAGCTGTTATAAGGCTAATACTGCTGTAACACTGCTAACCACAGACTGATCATGAGCTTTAGCTGTTATATGGCTAATACTGCTGTAACACTGCTAACCACAGATTGATCATGATCTTTAGCTGTTATATGGCTAATACTGCTGTAACACTGCTAACCACAGATTGATCATGATCTTAAGCTGTTATATGGCTAATACTGCTGTAACACTGCTAACCACAGATTGATCATGAGCTTTAGCTGTTATATGGCTAATACTGCTGTAACACTGTTGGCCATAGATTGATCATGAGCTTTAGCTGTTATATGGCTAATACTGCTGTAACACTGCTGACCACAGATTGATCATGATCTTTAGCTGTTATATGACTAATACTGCTGTAACACTGTTGGCCATAGATTGATCATGAGCTTTAGCTGTTATATGGCTAATACTGCTGTAACACTGCTGACCACAGATTGATCATGAGTTTCAACTGTTATATGGCTTATACTGCTGTAACACTGCTGCCCATAGATGGATCATGAGCTTTAGCTGTTATATGGCTAATACTGCTGTAACACTGCTGACCAAAGATTGACCATGAGCTTTAGCTGTTATATGGCAAATACTGCTGTAACGCTGCTGACCACAGATTGACCATGAGCTTTAGCTGTTATATGGCTGATATTGCTGTAATACTGCTGTTACACTGCTGACCACAGATAAATCATGATCTTTAGCTGTTATATGGCTAATACTGCTGTAACACTGCTGACCACAGATTGATATTCCTCCCTGAGATTTAGCTATATCACTGGTGACTATGAATTGATGTTTCCTGGCGTGGATTATATTCTGAACAAACAAATATCCTTATATTAAAGTTTTAGATCATTTCAAAAGCCTACATGAGACAAACTTGTGGTCGGCGCGTATGTGAATATTGCGTCAGGCAGTTTTTTTCAGCATCATATCGATATTCTTGAGACCCTGTGTCACTTCGGGCTTTCCACCCACATCACCTCTATGCGGCGTTTACCCAAACTCACTTGTGTCAAAAGCACCAGATCATAGGGACTCGTGATCACATCATGCACATGTCAGAAAAGAGTATGAAAGATACTTGGATCATTAGCTTTGGACGTTTTAGCGGCGTTGTCAGAGATCAGATTAGACTGTAATTCTATGAATTGATCCGCGTGATATACGACGCTATGTTGGGGGGGTTTGCTATGCTAGGATTGTCACATATGACCGCTGTGTTGGTTCATTATCTAAGATCATGTTGGATTGTTATGCTGTGGGTGGTTGCATGTGAGAGCTGTGTTGGTTGTCTGTCTAAGGTCAGATTGGATTGTTATACTATGGAGTACTACATAATTATGACAGATGTGTTGGCTCGCTATCTAAGATAATAAAGGATTGTTATGGTATGGGTGGTTACATGTGAAAGTAGTGTTGGTTGTCTGTCTAAGGTCAGATTGGATTGTAATACTATGGAGTACTACATAATTATGACAGATGTGTTGCTTCACAATCTAAGATAATAAAGGATTGTCATGGTATGGGTGATTACATGTCACCGCACTCAGTGACAGCAGTGTTGGTTGTCTGTCTAAGGTCAGATTACATTGTTATACTATGGAGTACTACATAATTATGACAGATGTGTTGGTTCGCTATCTAAGATAATAAAGGATTGTCATGGTATGGGTGATTACATGTCACCGTACTCAGTGACAGCAGTGTTGATTGTCTGTCTAAGGTCAGATTGGATTGTTATACTATGGAGTACTACATAATTATGACAGATGTGTTGGCTCGCTATCTAAGATAATAAAGGATTGTTATGGTATGGGTGGTTACATGTGAAAGTAGTGTTGGTTGTCTGTCTAAGGTCAGATTGGATTGTTATACTATGGAGTACTACATAATTATGACAGATGTGTTGGTTCGCTATCTAAGATAATAAAGGATTGTCATGGTATGGGTGATTACATGTCACCGCACTCAGTGACAGCAGTGTTGGTTGTCTGTCTAAGGTCAGATTACATTGTTATACTATGGAGTACTACATAATTATGACAGATGTGTTGGTTCGCTATCTAAGATAATAAAGGATTGTCATGGTATGGGTGATTACATGTCACCGTACTCAGTGACAGCAGTGTTGGTTGTCTGTCTAAGGTCAGATTACATTGTTATACTATGGGGTACTACATAATTATGACAGATGTGTTGGTTCGCTATCTAAGATAATAAAGGATTGTTATGGTATGGGTGATTACATGTCACCGTACTCAGTGACAGCAGTGTTGGTTGTCTCTCTAAGGTCAGATTACATTGTTATACTATGGAGTACTACATAATTATGACAGATGTGTTGGTTCGCTATCTAAGATAATAAAGGATTGTTATGGTATGGGTGGTTACATGTGATAGCTGTGTTTTTTTGCTACCTAAGGTCAGATTGAAGGGCCCTGGTACACAAAGCTATTTGTCTACATGTGAAAACGTCTTAGGATATCACCACAAAACATAAGATCGATACAGAAATATTTATTGCAAGTAAATTCATGCCATCCAGTGCGATATATAAATGTAGTTTTAAAGTGGCAGACTTTGAATGTTTCTGCCTCTTGGGTTCAGGTGTAAAACGACTGCTCTGCGCGATAAGCAGTATATACATCAACACCCATTAATCCTTATATATACTAAAATAACCGCAAATAGTAGTGATGGAATTAATCATATATGTATAAAACCAGGTATAGCTTTAACATTTTGATAAATATGATTAAGCAAAACTTAATAATGATAGACGTATGAAACACGATGTCATTAGCTGTATTATGCTTTTAATAAGTTAATAAATGTTATATGTATGTAAGTAGGATTGCTTAAAAAAGAACACCCGAGTGAAATATATGCTAAATGATACTTATCATACAATTGGTTAAGCAATGAAAACACATTCCTTAACATACAGGATTTCCAAACCTTAAACATGTTAACACACATTTTTTTATCTACATTTTCATTACAAAGTAATCATTAGCTTTAGATACTATTTAGTACTATTTTTAGCTCTACTCCAACAGATACAGAAATATACGAAGCAACTATCAATGCTTAAACGCGGGTTCAAAGCATGAAATAAAATCACTTTAGTAAAGACGATCCCTAAAACAGTAATGTAACTGATAAAACAGAAGTGTGCATGATATACATGACGGCAAGTTTTTTACCATATTACGACTTTGTAAACTAGATATTTAGAATAAAACACGAGTTTACCTGAAGATTTCTGGATGTTCATCGTGTGTGTTTTATAAAATCCGATTGCGACACATTCAAATTTGTTTCAACATGTACAGCTTCGCCGTGAAATTGCATGCGTGTGGCTTTAGAGAACAAACAAACATCAACAAATTTGGGTAGTGTCATCCTCAACTATAGTTAAGAGAGCAACAATGTGTAGATCCTAGATGGCCCAACGCAAAACATGTTGGTAGTTATAGCAAAAAGGGAATTCAGGTTCCATCACGGCTTTGCATTTCCCCAGCACGATGTCATTCCCACATACGCCTTAATTGCAAATCCAACCTTGATTTGACAGCTGCAGGGAGCGTTCATAAAGAGGTTACCAAAGCAGTCAGGATTCCGTTGCAAGAATTCTTCCAAACTGATCCTCAATATTTTAAGACCAATCCGTGCTCGTCCATCACGATGGGAATCTTCTCACCATACGATGAATGCCTTGAGAGTTCTGTCCTTATTAAGATGACACACTTCGGCTTACATTTGTAAATAACATACTGTTGAAAGTGGCCTTGTAAATTCAACTCACTCCAGGGACGTTGCAAAAAAATGTACAAGAGGTTGCATAGTATCACGACATATGTAGAAAGTCAAGTAATGGTATCAGTACATATTTACTTGAGAAATCTTCAGACTCGTATCAGTTTATCTCAACGTTTTAACGTTGTCTGGATTGTCCCTTAGTATTTTAACATTAATTGATCTAATATGAAGTTACCTACAGGCCCCTGACTTACATGTGACATTATCTTGATATACGGGGTGTCACTAATTGAATATACAAACACCCCGAAGACTAAGTGTTAAAACAAGAATATGACTGGCCGATAAAACAGTTGGATTTAATAACACCATGACAATACTCCCTCCATTAGGATCTTCCATTACTTGACAACGCGTTCCGTTAAAGAATTTACGTGAGCATACAAAATGTATTATCAAGTGAATGTTGATTCTGAATACATGATACTGTTTATTGATAGCAGCTTCTTTTAATCTTTGTCACGACGTTTAAGAGCTACTTCTTGCTCCTTCAGCATTGACCTGATGTATTCATGTATTCACCTTCGGCCAACTTCTAAATGCCTATCATGGACTTCATTTTTGATTCTGTAACTGCCATATGAATACATTAGTCGATGACATCGATATATTCTCCATCTCCAAATGCAGGATGTGAACAACACAACAGTAAATAGAAAATGCCATAACTAAATGAGCATTTCATATATCACAATACGCACAGTATATGCATGTGCTATCTTTACATAGAAATAACACCCAACGTATACATATAAATGTATAAGAACATACAAATAAATATGCTCCAAAACTAATCACATCTTACCTTACACATATTAGAGTATCTTAGAAATCGTTTTAGTTGTTATTACCGGAAAAGCATGGTTAGGCGAAGCAAAAGGTAGAACATGTTCCATTGTGCCTTGATAATGACTTTTGTAATCAATAGACATACCACCTCCAGTTTGTAGACATGTTTTGGTTGATTCGTTAGATGACCTTTGCAGGATTATTGTCAGCGTTGAATCTTCTTAATAGACCAATGTACATCGAAAGTTAGGATCTAATATAAACCACTGCTTTACCAAGGCGTAATTGAAAAAGCGAATACAATATTTGCACGCAAGGGTATTATTGGCATGTCGTCATGCCAAGCCTGGCCAGACAGTAATAAATGTACAAGGTAAGTGCCAGATGCTGCACTCTTCTTCTCGGGTGGTACCAAATCACGGGATCCAACTGTTATCAGCTCATATTGTATTTGTTGGAATCGTTGTTTGCGATCAGAACAATGGCTAAAAGCAACATGAAAAACTGAAAGAAAAGAAATCGTAAAATGTCAGAAAACACATTCACAGCTAAAACATGAATATGTGTTCATCACAGATTATTAATTTTTCTCGTTTTATGGGATTGGTAGCTATAGGAATCAGTGATTGGTAAATAGCTATCTTGGATGAAATACAATTTGATGATAAGTGGGTGACTTTGTGGAATATCTTCCATATGTGAAGGAATCCGTTATTTGTTTTCTTTTATACTATGATGCCGTTTCATTTCTGTCCCAATTTACAGGTTTGACGGGATTGTCCTGATGTGGTTTTAGATTTTTGAAGCCTCTCGGTAGTTTCAACTTACCTCCAACCCTGCAATCCCTGCTCCGAAGCCAATGATACAAGCTTGGTAGTTCACAAAGAGGTCAGATAAAGATGACTTGCAGCCCTGCGATGAATTTAAGGAAACATTTTATTATCATGGCATTGGATCGCTTTATCAGGTACATATAAGCACATTTCCACCCTCACGATCTAAATAATAATACGGATGGCGCCCCTGGTGAATTTAGGGTGATGGACTTTTCACTATTTAAAAATTTATCCTATAAGTGAAATGTCGTTTATCCGGAGGGTACCATTCTCATTAAATCGCCCTTAGTATATTCTCATTAAATCGCTCTTATTAACAATTGGACTCGTGAAGATCCGGGGTGAAATAGGTTTTCAGCAACCCATGCTTGCCGTAAAAGGCGACTATGCTTGTCGTAAGAGGCGACTAACGGGATCGGGTGGTCAGACTTGCTGACTTGGTTCACGCATGTCATCGTATCTCAATTGCGTGGATCGATTCACATGATATCAATCACTGGATTGCCTGGTCCAGACTCGATTATTTACAGACCGCCGTCGATTGTATCACTAACCTGATTGAAGTACGAGTTATCTGCGGTGGGTTCAGTTGTACAGTTCGCCATCACGAGAGTAGCATTCTCCATCTTACAACAAGAATCAGGGATAGTTGCTGAACTTCCGTCCCCAAGGGTTCTGTTCCACTGACTTCCGGTCATGACGTAGTCACTTCCATTTGTCCAGCCGCAGCACATTTTCTACAAAAGAGTGAGTGAGTGGGTTTAAGAATGCTTTAACAGTATTCCAGTTATATCAGACCATTTCAGCTTCATCCTGACGTTGTGCAGGCCTAATGCATTATGGTGAAACCAACAAGCACAGGTATCGTGCTTGAAAACCAAGCACCATAATCAGGGCGAAACTGAAATTCGACCTCGTGATGTGCGTCATGAAACGTAGCGTCTTTGACTTAGTAAGCAAGTTATTTGTAAATGTCTTTCGCACTTGAATATCTGGGCAAGAAACATAGAGGAATGGTGACTTTGAGGATACGAACCTTAGCTTGGAGCAGGTTCATGGCTGTCGTGAACCCATCTGAAGGCGGACCATATTTCATTTTCATGCTGTTGTTTAACTCATTTTCCAGTTCCCTTTCCCACTGTAACAAATCCAGGTAATGTGTAATATCACATCAAGTATATCTCTGAGTGAGTAGTTGCTTGTTTGTTTGTTGTGTAACCCTGCACAAAAATTTCAGCTATATTCCAGTCTGGAGTAAACAAACCAGTGATTGACACCATGAGCATCGATCTACGCAAATGGGATACGATGACATGCATCACCAAGTCAGGAAGCCTGACCACGTAATCCCGTTAATCGCCTCTAACGACAGGCACGTGTTGTTGTTTTGTTTTGTTTCGTTGTTTAACGCCGCACTCAGCAATATTCCAGCTATATGGCAACGGTCCATAAAAATAATCGAGTCTGGACGAGACAAGCCAGTGATTGACATCAAGAGCATCGATGTACGCAATTGGGATACGATGACATGCATCAACCAAGTCAGGAAGCCTGACCACGTAATCCCGTTAATCGCCTCTAACGACAAGCACGTGTTGCTGTTTTGTTTTGTTTCGTTGTTTAACGCCGCACTCAGCAATATTCCAGCTATGTGGCAACGGTCTATAAATAATCGAGTCTGGACGAGACAAGCCAGTGATTGACATCACGAGCATCGATGTACGCAATTGGGATACGATGACATGCATAAACCAAGTCAGTGAGCCTGATCCCGTTAATCTTACGACAAGCATAGTCGTCTTTTACGGCAAGCATGGGTAGCTGAAGACCTATCGTAACCCGGATCTTCACGGGTTACGCGTTGCTGAAGACGTTACACGCTTTACCCGCAGAGGCGATCAACTGGTTCTCAGTATACCAGCTAAGTCTTTACCTTCACATGCATGACTTGATACCAAATTGATCTTTCAGTTTGGTGTTTCAAAAGAAAGGTTATTAGTGATGTCCTGGCTTCTAATTATTGACACACTTCGTGAAATGTAATACCCACATTAATGGCACAGCTTCACTTTGGAGATGAGATATTGTACGTACGCTTCCTTGTCATACTTGTTCGAAACCCGATACCCGAATTATAATGATAGTTGTTGATGTCGTATCAAGTTTGTATGCCGAAAGGAAATGGTTGAAATATTAAGTAAATAAATTATGCATTCATATTATCATGAACTATTTATAATTTCAATAATTAAACATACGTCTGGAGTTATCTCCCTTGCATTATGCCAGTTTTGTAAAATCAGCGCACCACAAGGCGACAACTCACCGCTTTCTTGAACACGATCCCGAGTATAACAGCCGCTACTTCCACAGCAATAACCAGAGTGATAACCGTTATATACTACAAAGAGAAGAGATATCAATAAAAACAATTTAAACATTAAAAATATGTTCATTCATGTTGGCAAAACCCAAGAGTAAGCTGAGCAGGTTCTGAGTGCCTCGTGCATGTCATATCATTGATCAAGATGAGGGCCGTGTTGACGAAGCGGCTGCTGAGTAAGACTGGTGCTTTTAGTGACACATCGGGTAGACACAATCTCGGGTATAACAGTCAATATGTGACATCGCATTCACACGTTTACCCGGTCGTGCCTTACTCTACCACAAGCTACAATGGAATAGCTAAAATATTGCTTTCTACTCAAAAACTAAATTAATTTACTTCCTAATCTAAGTCGCACTACTTTTTCCAATCACGAACTGATAAAATCTGTCTGAACGGCTGTAATCTGTGGATCCTTTAAGCCAAGAATCCAAAGCTTAATAACACCAGAGACCATATAACAGATCATATGGTCTCTTATAACACGTACCAAACCCAGTAAGCAGGTGCTTGATGTCACAGCCGCGGCTATTCCCAGCAAGGCAAAGAAGACTGTTCCAGCCCCACCTGTCGCAAGCACGATGGCGGCATGGCGAAGGAACTCCTTGTCTATGGTGCTCACATCCAGGAGGTGCGGGTACAGGGTGTTGAAGAAACTGTCTTCATCGATCACAATCCAGATGCCAACACCTAGAGCTGCACCGCCAGCCAACTGGTCAAAAGATGAGACATTACATATGTTACAGATATATCCAGAGGTCACCAACATCGTGTCAGGCAACAACAGTGATGAAGCCAGGGGTTGGCAGGGTATGAATCGAGTGAGTTGGGTTTAACCCAGCCAAGATCAATTCTCCAGTATTATCACAACGTGTCAGCTTAATGTGGACTGAAAGCCCAAAGTGATGCAGGTCTTGGATGGTTATCATCGAGTTCGTGCATGGAGCTAACAAACCAAGGACCATGATCAGGGCGAATCCTTAATTCGAACCAAGTGATCACAGCATCCTGGCGCGACCAATGGACGCAACTCTGTACAGGGAATTGCGGCCTTATAAATGGCTAGGCTACCCGCGCCCTCGCAGTGTGAAAAAACAGGCTCGAAGCAATTTTATCCAAGTACCACCTGTTTTAGATCATAGGTAATACATTGACGATTAAAACGTACTATAGTTAATGCGTACTGTGGGTGTAACTCTTGCAATAATACTTTACGATAGTGACGTCAACATACAAGGTGGTATGATCTGACCGATCTGATAGTGGACAGAAGGTTGTAGACTACAAGGTTTTATTACGCTCATGATCCGTACGGACACCTTCACGGGTAGTTGAAGGTGGTGGTACTCACAAGGATGATAACGTTGATGAAGACGATGCAGAATTTGAGACAAGATTTGATTGAGCTGCACATGCTGGTCGTGTCCACCATTGGGTAACCTGTAAAGAAATGGTGTAGGTGGTTAGTACACACGCGCATGTGAACGACGCCCACATAGAATCAATATCTCACACATCACATTCCAAACGTGCTTTCCACAATACAAATTGTAGATCACACAACACACGCACCACTCGAACACTTTAAATAACATCGAATATCTTCAATGTACATCACACAACACACATAACACTCGTACACTTTACATTACATCGAATATCTTCAATGTACATCACACAACACACATAACACTCGTACACTTTACATTACATCGAATATCTTTAATGTACATCACACAACACACATAACACTCGTACACTTTACATAACATCGAATATCTTCAATGTACATCACACAACACACATAACACTCGTACACTTTATATAAAATCGAATATCTTCAATGTACATCACACAACACACATAACAATCGTACACTTTACAATACATCGAATATCTTCAATGTACATCACACAACACACATAACACTCGTACACTTTACATAACATCGAATATCTCCAATGTACATCACACAACACACATAACACTCGTACACTTTACATAACATCGAATATCTTCAATGTACATCACACAACACACGCGTACAAATGCACGTACTCTCGTACACCACTGCAGCAAACAAACGCTCACATATTACAGCTCATATACTCCATCTGTACACACACCACAAACACAGATCACACGCACTATACACTTTATGAACATAAAATACCAGGACATCTTACCAGCTGAATTCTCTACAAATACATCATTACCATACACTGAATATATGTATCATCACCAACTACCGTATTCTACAGACACGCGCTTTTCACAAAGAGTAATTTTATACAAACTGAAATGTGAAAAACATTCATGTTATATTACCAGTTTTGCTTAGCAGGTCATGCTTAACTAGTTGAAGCTGTCACTGCATCAGTGAACAGCCAGCTGTGTTGGAGTGAAATATATTGGACGCACGGTTGCACACACCTAAACCGCTACATGGTGCGTTCGTATTCATTAGCTGGTTAGATGACTTAATGACTCTAATTCTCTAATTGCGATAGTCCACTGATCATCTATGCAGTGTGTACTGTGGGTCATTTCATTGTAAAGTGTGAATTCGAATGCCGTTATATCTTTGTGTAATGACAGCTGTTGCGGAAGCAGAAGCTTCAAGTGGCTGCTGATACACATCAGGTACATCCTAGGCGCAGAATGATGACCCATGTGCTTCCAGTAGAGTTAATGGGATCTATTCCATCGCGCTTTTTGCCATTTGCTTCACATAGGTTTTGACTGAATCCATCTTAATAACAGCGCAGGCATCAGGTCACGTACTCTTCGGAACTCGAACGTGACCTTCGATGTGACCATATGTACATATCATCTGTGAAGGGACACTGGACTGTTAATTAATGTCTCAACAATCATATTGATTGCTGAGACAGCATTAAACTCCACACATTGCGACACTGTGAAGCTCTAGAGAGAGAGATGGTATACATATGAATGGTTTTCGACGTCTGCAAACTGGAGATGACGAAAATGTAATTGAATACATCCTTAGAAAATAAGTTTGAAAATGGCGATTAATTCAAGACCATTGAACGAAAATATGCACAACCCGTTGATCATAAACTTCAGACCACCTGTTCAAATTATACCTAAGGGATTCCTGTTACAAAGGGGTAGGAGTCAATATGTGTCACTCGGTAACTTCTATCTTCCGCAAGGCGACTGCTCAGGTGGACGCTCTACCACTAGACCACGGAGGCGGTCTCATTCGCTTGGATCTAGTAGTAGTAGTAGTAGTAGTAGTAGTAGTAGTAGTAGTAGTAGTAGTATAAGTGGTGGTGGTGGTGGTTTTGTCAGTTATATTTTCACTTTTGATTGACATGAAGATGTATTTAAAGCCGGGGTCCAAGACACAGGATTGTCACATGGTGTGATTTGTTCCCAGGTCGTGCCCACACAGTCATGTACCACACACTGTACAGGGAAGGAACATGTTCCTGATTGTCTTAATTGTACAAGCATAATTCAGTTACCAGCATCTTCCCCAGACAGAGATCAGTCGGGGTAAATAACTGACGTTCCATGAGTTGATCTTTCAAGGTGCACATCACGAATGAAAGAAGAAATACTTGAGGCAGCCAGGCAACTCAAGTAGCTCGTGTGTGGGCGTGACGCGCCCCTCAATCAAGGCAAGTTTCTCGTATATTGACCATCAGAGTGGGTGTCAAATATCGTGTATACCCGAATACATTATTGCCACCCCTGTATGTATTCCGGGTGGGATAGGTCCCCCCACACCCATACTTCTTGTAAAGTGCCGACATGGAGGAACGGGTGCGTAATGTGACCTGGTTGATTATGTGTCATCGTGACCTGACTGTGTCGATCATTAATTATGCTTCCTCGGGCTGAGTCATACACATGTATTTCATTCATTGTGCATTCTTTTTTTAAAAGTCCATCCGGGCTTGTGGGTATGTGAAAGGGAAATACATACATTGTCGATTTATTCAAAGTGTGTTTTTATCTTACAATGCGCGTTGTCATCTTACAAAGTGTTTGTATCTTACGTGTGTTTTTATTTTTGGGTTTAAAGCAAAATATATCATGGAGTCTATTTATAAACGATATAAAGCGTATTTTAGGGCGCGTTGGAAGTGGTGTTTACTTCGGAATTTCGCACCACTAATATTTTTTGTTTGTTTGTTTGTTGTTTACCGCTGCACTCAGCAATATTTCAGCTACATGTATATGACTGTGGTCTGTAAATAATCGAGTCTGGACCAGACCATCCAGTGATTGATATCATGAGCATTGATCCACGCAACTGGGATAAGATGACATTCATAAACCAAGTCAGCGACCCTGACCACCTGATCCCGTTAGTCGCACAGTCGCCTTTTACGGCAAGCATGAGTTGCTGTAGATCTATACTACCCCGGATCTTTCGCCACACTAATAGGATGACGAATTATACAATGCCGCACTTAACCCGAAGACCGGAGACATGATTCGCACATGCGGCAGGACTGGGCGATACTTGATTACAAGAGCTTTTCGTTGGGGTATATTGAACTCTATTTCTGCATTTGGAACACAAACATTGTCTTGTCAACATACAACTTTGATACGCCACGAATCACGCATCTCTGCTTCACATATGGGGCACACTCGTAATAAGTCGAGTCTCATCGTTTGTGCATGACTTTCCTTTGCGTGGAAGAATTATCATGTAATCTAATTTCAGGGGCGACTGCCTCATCACGGTTCGCCTTCAACAGTGATGCGCATCTCACGACGCTGTGTTGTCTTGACTATGTATTAGTTTGATTTGTGTCATGTATAAGTTACATATAGTTAGTTACATATAGATGACTGTTTAAGTTGCGGTTCAGCATCTGCTGTGTAGTAAATACATACAATGTTTGAATGCTGTAGATATGTGTGTGTTATTATACATACCACATATAACCAGTATGGAAACATAAACAACTATTTTCCTGATAAAAGAATATACCAAATGCTACATAGTTATCATTCGATTCCTCATCAAAGAATATAGAATTTGCCACATAATCATTTTCTCCATAATGAAAGAAAAGACCCAATACTACATAAGCATTTCATAACAGGCTCAATGACATTTATCTGTCTGAGTCAACTACAATCAAAATTTTTGGGGCCGAGACATTAAAACTGCCCCCTGTGTTGCAAATCAAATGTAGTTCTTGAACGTTTTTCTTTACTTATGAGCAGCAGAATCTCGAAACTTGCACACAGCAGACGCATTTCCACCTTAACTAATAGTTGTTATTAACTTCAACAAAATCAATAAATGCACTATCATGTCGATGGGTTGTCTGGTCCAGAGATCATTTAATTGCCTGTTTTTTCACAGTCCGCCGTCGCGTGGCAGGATTATTGCTGTGCGCCGTCAGGCAATAAATATTAATTTTATCCACATTGTGCGAATGGCGGAGGCTACCGGTAGGGCAGGACATGCTGACCCTTTTGGCGAAAACCTCGTGCCATCACTGATTTTCAGTGGTCCATTCATATAGGTACTACAGCTAGTTTTGCCTTTACGGGGGAAAAGTATCTGTTTCGTCGGATAATCAAGACATTTTTGAAATGATATCCTAGTTGTAACATGCTCGTTTTCTCCATTATGAAATAAATGACCAAATACCACATAATCAGTATCTTCGTTATCAAAGAAAATGTGCATAATCTCCTTGTGCCATTAGTATGGAACATTATTCAATCTTTAAGCTTTGTTTCTGCACTGAAGATATCACAGGCCTACACTACATATATATAACTTCAGCGTAGGGAGCCTATAAAAGAGTCCTGTACATAAAGGCATGATGAATAAACGCTGACAAGTTACACTGCAAGAAGAAGTTAACAGAGATTCACATTTAACAACGTTGGGATGGACAAAGTAATATTCTGATACATTGTACATAGTAATTTCTTATTGATGCACATGCTGGACACACAAGTAGAAAGTGACAGTCATCCTCTACTTCATTTAATTTACATAACAGACATATTCGTTCTGCTCTGTCAACAAAACGTTTTGCGAAGAAAATCTAATCTAGTTTCTCGAAATTTCATTACATTTTAAAGAGATGAGTAATGTTTAATGTATATATACATGTTCCATATAATGTGATGATAACAAGGGTTCGCGAAAAGGCTAGCATGTCCTGCCCCACCGGTGTTATCAAGGATATGCACTTGTTTGGTACTGTTAAATATTTAACCGGTTTTGTAAATATAAATCTTTCCGGCTTTGTGTTTGTGACATGTGTGGGATTCTACGTATTGATCATTCTACACATAGCCATACCCAACCTTACACAATAGTTACCCAATTATGATATTTCAACATTTCCTGGGACTCTATATGGGGTATATACAGCAGTCTCAACCGATACTTAATAACCCCCATGTACCAGCATCTATACATATGA